CTTTCAACCCCAGAGGAGCAATGCCTACTTTTATATCTCCAGTTCAGAGTTTCGGAGTCTCCGTTACATTTCCCAGTGCCGGTTGCAGCTCCGCCCCTGGATATACCAGCAGCACAGGGAACTCCACATGTCCAAATGGAGTGGGCTCTGTTTGCTGGAAAGGAGGGGCCACCCGGGCTCACATCTCAGAGGCATCTTTAGGTGCTTCTCTCTCTCATCAAGTAGTGGACAAGTGCCTCTGATCAACCCTGACAATATTTTATATTAGTTTTGTTAGTTTTACTGTCAGCTCCTCCCTCAGACCCTGACTTGTTTTCTGGATTGTTGTTCTTTATTGTTCTGTGCATCACCCAGGCGTCTTGAGAAAAGGCAGATTTTGATGTGGAAATGCTCGTGTGGGAGTGATTTTGAGTAAAATGCTCACGCTTCTGGATCATTACAATTGTCTCATAAGTGATCGTCTCTAGACCAGGCATTCTCAAAGTGTGGTACTCAGACAAGCAACGTGAACACCATTTGTTAGAAATGCAAATTCTTAGCCATATCCAGCCCTAACCAGGCAAGCCCTCAGAACCAGCTTGCTGGGTCATGTGCTCCAGGTGGTTCTGCTGCGGGCTGGAGTTTTAGAGATCCATCTAGAGTTTGCCTTTATGGTCACCACACACACCAAGGATCTTTGTACAGGTGCAATAAGAAATTATCATTGTTTCCACAAGGTGGTTTTTCAAAGGCCTGCAGCTTTGCCCCCAACTAATTTTTCTTTCTCTCTTAGTTAATCCTTTCTCTGTTCCTAATTTTAAAATAAAAATCATCGCCTGTCGTTCCCTGTCCATTCATGGTGCTTCCTAAATCTTCTCCTTCATTCTTGTTTCTGTTACCTGAAATGCTCCTATTCTTGCTCCCTGGAAGTCTATCCTTTCTTCAAATTCTAGCCAAATGCTGTCTCCTCTGTCTTGTTTCTCAGATCACCACGCTATGAAGTGTGGCATTTTACGTTCTTGAACTCGGTTGTGATTAGCACCTGGAGCAGGGCACTGGGACAGTGGTTCTCCACTGGGGCTGACCTGCCCCCTGGGGAGCACTTGGTACTCTTTGTGAACTGAAGGTCTTGGTCTTTCACTTTGTAAGGCCACTAATAATTTAGCACATTATGATTTTCCTTGCTCTTTGGTTCTACTGGTGACCAAACAACATGGCGCTTCGAGGTGAGGCGTGATGTGCACAAGGTTCTCTTTCCCACAGAGCCCTCGCCAAGGTGCACCCTCATGAAGATCCTGATCTGAGATGCACCATGGGTTGGAGATTATCTCTAGGAGCTAAAGGAGACCTTGGAAACCCACAAGTCCAGTTCTTATTCAGTTCGTAGACCAGTTCACGGGTGTGAAACTCTTGGGCAAACTAAACTCAAGTTTTCAGATTTTTAAAGGCCATCAGTCATTCACCCATAAATTCCATAACACCCCAACACCCCAGCAGAGTCTGGGCAGCACCGGGTGCTCAAGCACACAGTGTGTGACAAATAACTGAGCAGCCACACTAAGTATGATGAACAAAGACCACAGAGGGCTTGCAGCCAGAGCAGAGCGGGTTTTGCCACCAAGCCAGTTGTGAAACGTTATTTGGGATATTTGAGAGAGCCAGGTTACAGGCCGATCAGATGGTCATGAGTTTGGTCTTGATGAGCTGGTTGCTTGACCTGCATTTCAGCCCTGCTGTCCTGACCACACTGGGAAGGAAAGTGTCTCGGGTGGGGCCTGGGAGAGCATGTTTCCCCAGGGAACTCTGCCAAGTATCAGCCGGCTCCGGTCTGGGATATGCAGTCCTAAAACACCATGTGCCCCTGTTGCTTGGCGTTCCTCCTCTCTGTGTCAGACAGATGTTCCGTCATTCAGTCAGCTGGTGAGCTGAGGTGTCCATAACCCACTGGGCTTGGCCTTCTCCTGCTATCTGAGCTGAGCTGAGCTGATCATTCTGAGTTTTCATATTTGGCTGGTGAGAGACCGTGGCAGTCTGGAGCAACACTTTTGCAAACAGATATTTTTCAGGCAGTACTTAATGTTATTTCCCCACACCAACGTGGGGGGTCTTCAGATCTTATGGCCCAGGGGCACAGCTTCTAGGAAGAAGGGGGATAGTATCAGACACTAAGGAAGAGTTCAAGTGGAGAAACCAGACAGACCAAAGACATTGAGTATTTTGGTGGTTATTGATATATACTTCATCTTTATTTGTTATCCAGTTTAAATGCTGCTTTTATCTTATTATTATTTCTTTAAGAGCAGCTTTCCATAATGTGAGCCTTATCAAGATGAACAGGTCATCACTGGCTAACCTTCACCTAGGTCAGCGCCAGTAAGATATGACCTCTGAGTCACCCTAATTCTTAGAAAATTGATATTTTATTGTTTAACCCATAACTGTTAACGAGGACTGAAATATGAGTGCATGGTATTCCAGCTGAATCAGGATTAAAAGATCTTATTTGTAAGTGTTAATTCTATTTATAATGGTGTAGTCTAAGTGCTCCTTTATCAGACTGTGGTGATTAGCTTTTCCTACGTTCATGTCTGGGCTTACATCCTGTTACGTGCACTGGGTGTATTTAGTATCTACCATAAGGGACTGAATAGAAGAAGAAGTTGTGCTAGCTTAAAAATACCATTTCCATCTCAAAAGGATGACCCAGGGTCTGGAGGCTCTGTAGACCCAAGAAGCAGACACCTGGGGGAGGTGTCTTACTTGCTCATCAGCACAGTGAAAGCCAACCCATGGTTCCTTGCCACTTGAGGATTTTAATCAATACATATCTTATATTTCACTAGCTGATCAACCTTATTTACCAAGGGAGACTGTGGGGCTTCAGGCCATGTTACTGTTCAGATAAGACCCATCTATCTAGTTGGTTATTTATCCATCATCTCCCTCCCTCCCTGCCTGTCTCCCTCCCTCCCTTCCTTCCTGCTCATTTATCAGCTATCTTTTGCCTTCTGCTTACCTACCTATCATCTATCTCTGTGTATTTATGAAAAGGAAAAAAAAAGGATTGGCTTGAGTAACTACGCACACTTCAATTTCCTTCTCCTCCTTACAGCTGGATCCCAGAGGTTCGTGGATGAATCAGTTCACCACAGTCTGGTACCATATGCCCTCAAAGAAATACAGACAGCACAGGCATCTTTGGTCTTCAAGAATTGCTAATGTGGGCCATCCACTAAGACCCAAAGTCATTAAAAAAATTTTGCAAGTTCCTGCTAGGAGGAGGACTGTGTTAGCACATCATTAGTTTTCCCTGCACATCTCTCAGCAAGAACTGCATCCTACTGTTTACTTTTGAAAGGTTAAACCAGCTATTGGTTGTGGATAAGTAACGTCTATACCACACTCTGCCTTGATGAACTTGCATTTCACTCTACAACTCAGATGAAGACCAAGCTCTGTCTTTAATGCTAATCTTTCTCTCTCTCTAGAAGGAGGGGTGGGAGCATTTCTTTGAGGAAACCCAGAAACCTGGAGTCCTACAGTAAACAAAGCTTCAAGGTCCAACACCTAGGTAATTTTTAGGAAATTCATATGTAATTTTCTGTCTGCTGCTCTATTCTGAAAGTTAACATTTCCAAAAAGAGGCACAAATGAAGTATATTTGGATTACTGTTAAATTTGGAGCAAGAACCACGACTTCAGACTTTGAGCTGAATTAATCTATGTGGCGTGAAGGGCAGTCAGTTTTAAAGGAAGATGGCAGCCAATTTCTTTTGTTATTTATTTTTTTATTTTTTCCAAGAACAGTTAACATTTACTAGGCACCTATTGGCCTCAGTCACTTGCATCTAAAGAGCGAAGCTAATTCACCCACAGCCCGTGTTCTTTGAAATGGTTAGCCTTATTTCTTAGCTCTGTTAACCACTAGTCTAACATTAGCTTCAAGTTCAATTTTAATCATCTACCCCGTAATTGTCTACTGCTCCCTGCCACGAACAAAAAGTTTAGGGGGGAATAAGGCGAGCAGTTTACATTTTCTGTGGACACTTCAAGTAATTGGCCCCAAAGTGAAATTATCGATTGGCCATGGTTTGTAGTGTTCTGAGGGCGTAAAACGTGGAAGGAAATTGACCTGTAGAAAGAGTTGGTATCCAAGAATGTGTGAACGTGTGAAAATCCTATAACTTCACTTCAACTGGCCTAATATCCTGAGTCACTAGATGGTCAGAAGAATAGATACAGTACGAAAGGAACAAACCAATGTACATTGATACTAAAAACCAAAAACAAAGTCTGCACAAATGAACAGCAAATGAAATCGCTTCTATCCAAATAAGATCTCACACAGGTCATTTTTTTCCCTACGTACATGGACATACACACACCCACACACTCACAGACGCACAGCAAGGATGCGTATTTTTTGTAAGCTAGGTCCTTGGAAATAGACATTCTTAGCAAATATGGATGACAGATCAATTGTAATTTATTTTCTTTTTAACACTGTATCATCATAAAGAAAACTGGTATAAATGAAAAAATCTATTTCAAATATCTACATCTAAAATTTTAGGCAGTGGAAAAGCACTTTGTTGACAAGGAGAGTGGAATGATGGATGTTAATCGTCAGGAACTGCTGAATGCCTCGTTAGTTGCCACAAACAAATTCACATATCAGAACGAACAATACTGCTAAATATTCCTTTTTTTCCTTTTTTTTTTTTCGTTTTTTTGTTTTTTGTTAAAACATACTGGGAGAAAGAAAAGAAAAGAAAAACTGGAAATCCATACATCTTTCAAAAGTTTGAAATTGAAGCAATATTTAGAACCATAGATGAGGAAACACGGTGGCATTGGTGTAATATACACAATGCGCTCTTCTTCTTTAATCTGTAATGTACATCAAATACTTTACAACAATGCATTAACAAAAGGCAAGAAACATCTTGCTATACAGAGGAACCCCAATGCAACTTGAAGCCTAGAGTCACAACGGATGAAGAGAGTAAACAAAGCGTGAGAAGCCGTCCCCCATAAGTGTGTAAACTCTTCTGTGTCTTGTGCTTAACTAACCTCCACGCCCCGCCACCGGCCCTCTCCTCCCTCCTTCCTCTGCCGCCTTCCACATAAAGCACTCTTTAAGCCCTACAGCTCAGACTAGAACGGTGTGGCCCGTTGTCGTGTTTAGGATCTACCGATTGCCGAGTTAACGTTTGATTCGTTTAGCTTTCTAAAATAGCTCTTAATATTCCCTTACTGGTTATCACAGCCTTCCTATGGAACAGGCTTGAACAAACTAAATTTGCAGGGTGGGGAGAAATGTCTCGTGGTGTCTGCATGCACATGCACTGCTCCGGGCGCCTGGCCGGCTCACACCCAGGAGTCGGGCGAGGCCGGGTAGTGGCTCGTTTCATAGTTCAGTTCGCTGTAGGGACGGGCTGCCGAGTAGAAGTCGACGTAGTTGCCCGTGGACTTGAGGCCCAGGTGCATGGTGTACTCGCTGGCCGGAGGGCGGTGGTGGACCTGGTCCTCAAAGAAGGACTCGTCGTAATTCCTCGTGGAGTTCTGAAACGGCTGGTAGGCCTCGTAATCCTTTCTGCTGGGCTCTTGGGGGACTGGTTGTGCTGAACCCTGTGAGGGCAGAGGGGACAGCCAGGCTGGGTTAACTCATTTCCACCAGCTCCCTCCCACCAAGCCACTCCACCCGGCCTCGGAGAAAAGCCCACTCCGTGCTGGGCATTCACCCGTGAGCATTCTCCCAAGGCTGCCACCTGTGCTTTTTTTTTTAAGAAAAAAAATTAAATTGATCATAATTATGGGTGAGCTGGAATGACTGTACAGATACACAACAAGCCAGGATCAAATCGGTGCAATGAGTCTTTCTGTCTCCTCCAACATTTATCATTTATCTGTGCTGGGAACCTTTGAACCGCCCTCCTTATAAAATATATGGAATGTGCTGTGTCCTGGGGTCACCCTGCGGTGTTGCAGAACACCGTGCTATTCCTCCCCTGTAACTGGATTCTGGAGCACGTTATCCACCTCCCTCCCGCCCCTCCTCTTTCTCCCTTCCTAGTCTCCAGGGACCACTGTTGTACTCTCTGCATCCACTCTTCCAGGCATGAGTGAGAACCTGGGGCACTCGCCCTTCTGTGTCAGCTTTTTTGACCCAACACAGAATCGTCCCGTTCCAACCCTGCTGCTGCAGATGACAGGAGGCGGTTTTCTGTGTGGCTGAATAATATGCTCCCGTGCACATATATCACAGTTTCAGAACGGGTTCTTGGGTCCACACGTTATCCTTCTGCGTACTCCTCTCTCTCTCTCATTGTTATTGTGGCAAAGTTGACACAACATAAAACTGGCCCTTGTGAACAGGCTGGAGTGCCCGGCTCAGGGCTGTTGGGCAGCCACCCCCCCATCCCCTCCAACTTCCTCCCCACCCCACACAGGCTCGCTGGCACTCACTAAGCACAACCCACCTCCTCCCCCACCCCTGGCACACACATTCTACTCTCTCTCTCTCTCTCTGAATTCCCTGCTCCAGAGCTCTGGTCAATGGAGTTGTACAGGATCAGTTGTTGTGTGTCCAGCCTGTTCACGCAGCATAATGTGTTCATGGTTCATTCATGTTGTAACATGTGCCAGGATGTCCCTGCTTTGTATGTTGAGATTCCCTTCTAGGGACAACCCATGTTTGGCTCATCTTTCCTCCATCCATGGACACTGGGGATCTTCCCACCTTCTGGCTCTTGGGAGTGAGGCTGTGAGGATCATGGTACACCAGGGTCTATGGGTCCCTGCTTCTGGTTCTCCTGGGTCAGCACCCGGCAGTGGGCCAAAGGGTAATTCTTTCAGGGAGACGTCACACTGTCTGCCATAGTGGCCACACCATTTTACTAGCTAACCTTTTAAAATGAAAGTGGTGTAGACCAGAGCTAGAGAACACATGGACTTGACTTTCATCTTTTCTGCATTTTCTGGTATCACACTCAGGTACTGCCATCTCCAGGAGACGTGAAGATGCACAAGGTCTAATGGCCACTCAGGAATCTTCCCTCCAGTGTAGAGGACCATCATCAACATGCTTCTGAGTCCTGTGTGCACACGGGGGACTGAGGCTTCCCTGTGGTTGGGCCACTCCATCACACCTTCCTAGGTGACCAGGGACCACAGCCTTGGATGCACACTCCAAATACTCTGCACTCTGAGGGACAAAATGTTCCCTAACTTGGTGCTATCAAGAACTGGTGGGCTCAAGTATGCTGGGTGATGAAGCCTTGGATTAGCAGGGAGGGGTCTTCACAATTGTCTGGTTCCCCCTGGGCCACCTCAATACCCCCCTAGGCTTTGCCCTCTGCACATTACTGTTTGATGTATGGCCTAGGAACATTCAGGGATTACAGGAGCCTAGGAGATACATGAAAGTCAAGAGTCAGTTCCTCTGCTTGGCTGTAGGGAGAGTGAGACCCAGCGTGTTCATGGGCTGATAATATATTTACTACCTGGGGACAGAACGAGCCTTTCCCTTCTGACTGGCTCTGGGGTTCCTCTCGAAGTCCCTGCCCCCAAGGTGAGCAGGACCCCTCAAGGTGTGGGGTAAGGGAGACCCTCATAGCTAGTGCATAATGCAGGGATGCACCAGCTCTGCTACTGCAGTCACGGGGAAGGAGGTCTGGTTTCAATTAAAACACTCTTAAAAATACAGTTAGATCACTTTCCAGCATTCGGTAATTTCCTATTAATTTAACTAAGGTTCAGCATGGAAACACCCTCTAGAAATTGGTCTCAGTTAGTAAATAATGATTTGCAATTAGCACGTTGTGTATGAGTGAATGTCTCTAATGGCCCGCACATATTTCTTCTCTCAAGGAAGTGAAACTCCCTCTTTTATATGTAATTGATTTATGTTAGTAATCGACCTGCTCTTCTAAGAAGCAGTGAGCTTCGTCACAGAAGTGCTCAGAACGTCCACATGTCTAGTCAGTGGTGGCGGAATGCATGAGAAAGTCCAGAAGTCCATAGAGCACAAACCATGGTTAGCCCAAGAGCCTGGAGAGGAGGGGGACATTTGGAAATAATCTACAACACCTGCTCTGACCACACAGACTGTGTGCATAGGCACCAGTGACCTGGGCTACTCCACCAAGAGCTGTGCCTCTGTGGACCTTCTCCACCCCACTTGGGTGCAGCTGTCTGAGCACGGAGGACAGCAGGCTTACAGGTGGGAGGTTAGAAAACTCACACAGAAGGACACCAGAATTCACTGTTTCTATTCAGTAGGTACCATCTTCCACATTTAACAAATTCTGTTTTGTTTACTCTTCAAAGGGCAATAAATGTACATGTATATGTCTACCTACATTGATATCATCCATCCATCCATCCACCCATCCATCATCCATCCATCCACCCACTCATCCATCCATCCACCCATCCATCCATCCACCCACTCATCCATCCATCCACCCACTCATCCATCCATCCACCCATCCATCCACCCATCCATCCATTCATCCA